ATTATTGCTTCCCAGACTAATGTTGTCAACTGCTCCTCCGTTAGCGTGTTCTCAGACAGCAGAAAGTCCAAATAACAGTTTATCTCCTACAAATTAGCAAGAATTCAGATCATCTGATATATAAAGCAATTGCAGAAGACTGAACAAAACCAAAATGAATTGATGGAGAAGGACCTCTCCTCGTTCTCTACGTTTCTTTTGCTCCATAATCAGGGCCCTCGTCACCGCCATCTTACGAGTCACCATTCCTTGGATCTTCGTCTCGAAGCTTCTATTTGGGATCCAGCTGAGGTATGGGAAGAAATCCCTCCAATCTACCTCAATAGCACCCATCATTGGATCTACAACTAGTGTATTGAAGATTTCCTTCTTTGTCATCTCCTTCCCAAGTTCCTCTACAAAAATGGATTCCACATCCTGGCCCAAGGCCTGCAAAAGACTCGGTAAATGATTTGGTTCTGATTGTCAGCATAGAATAATGCAAGCCCTGACACAAATTTACCAACACACACACACAGAAATAATAGATCCAATTAATGTACTATTTATTGACTTGCGTGTTAAGAACCTTATTTTTGTATCCTTGTACTATGGTGATATTAGACCATCTAAACATCCAGCAATTTCAAGTTTAGACTGGCTTGATATCTCAAGATGGTATACCAAAAGGAACTACCTTAATAACAAAAAAATTTCATCAAAATAAGGAGTATGAAGCATTATACTTACTTGTTTCAAGGATAATCGGAAAATCTCAGCCTGAAATGGTGTTCTGAATTCTATTGCTCGAGAAGGATCACTTTTAATTTCTGAATGCAGAATATTTAAGACGTTACAAATCATTGTGTCCCTGTAACCGCGATTGTGCTTCTGATATCCAATAGCATAGAGAATTAGTGTGCGTTTCAGCTAAAGTGCATAAGGCATATTATAAGAGCAGTGAATCAAGAGACTGTTGGCCTGCGCACCTGAGCATTAGCTCCTAAGAGACTTGTCAACACATAGCGCTTCACCATCCGGTGGAAATCCCCATAGTCACTCATAGCAACCATTGATTTATTGGAAGTGAGCAACATCAATGCCTTTGAGAGCTTTCGAGTTGAAATGGATGAGAATTTGGTCACCATTGCCTGGAAAAAGTGATTCATTGTCATGTCTCATTTCAGTTGTAAGAAATCACAAAGGATATTATTAATTAACAAAATCATATAGGAATAGGGCAAAAGAGATGCCAATACTTGACCTTTCAGGTTGGGGCAACTAAGATCCTACTATAGCATCATTATACTCCTCTCTCTACTAATGTCACTATTTGTTTGTTCTTAATTACAACATCACAAGAACAGCACCAGCATTTGAACACAATAATGTCCACACATCAAAACCAAAGTCTTTTATTTATGCAAATGCAATTAGAACATTATGTTGCATACTCAAGTGAAACTACAAGCATCAGCAAGTCTCCATCAGTCACCACATTTGGAGCCGTGTATAAGATGACACTAATTAGATTACTGATGCATGTAACTTACAAAATCAACCATTTATATGATGTTCCAGGCTTTTATTCATCATAGTCTCAAGTTATTCACTATAATTTCATCATGAAGACTTCTTGTGTAACTTTTAGAAGGAAATCACTTCAAAGGTTTCTTCTCACTTATGGCGTAGGATAGCAGTGAAATACTCAAATGAACTGGTTGGGATTAGAACCGAGGGCAGGTCCTAAGAGCTTTTCAACAATCGATAGCAGCAAAGGTTCAAATTCTTCTCAAGTTATTCATCATAATTCCATCATGAAAACTTCTCATATAACTTTTAAAAAGAAATCATTCCTAAGGTTTCTTCTCACTTGTAGCATCAGATACCCTTGTTTTGAGATTTGAGAATCCCAAAAAGCTAAAGAACTTGAGAATTGTTGATCCTACTTGTTAGTGTCAACAACTTTAAGCCGTGGCCTTGGGGCCAACACGGTTGGGTTCAGGTCTGAATGAGTGGGGATCTTCCTGGACTACCCTTGAGAGTGCTGCGGTAGCCGACTACGTTGGTCCGGTCTCGACGGGACAACCGTTTCTTCCGGGAGGGAACTCCTCGCCTGGGCGCGTGGTGGGAGGCGTTCCGTCTTCGTCCATGCACACAGGTCGGGTCGAGCTCTCCGACGATCAAGTTAGTCGATAGTCTTAGGGGGTTTTTTTCTCTTCCTCCTCGTTCCGAACGCGAGGGTTTTTATAGGGAAGGTCACCGTTTTCTGATGTGCCCGCTTGCAGGGAGCAGGACCGTACCTGAGAAGGCGTCTGACACCGACGTTGGGGTTGCGTGAAGGACCGGACTCCTGCAGGATGGCGACGTGCCTCGGTCGGCGTTTTGGTCTGTCTCGGCCCGACGCTGTCAGGTCAGACCGAGGCAGACGACCCATATAGCTCCTCGGTCCGCGTGACCCAAGAGACGTCACCCGGGAGCAGGTGACGTCAGTTTGCATCCCATCATTATTATTACCCTCATCACTACTATCGCAAATTCTCCTTCCTCAAGCCGCCTACGTAGATGTTAGGTTATCAGCTCAACCTACATAAGTTGTTAGTATTCCTTTTGATATCCAGGTCCCCTCTGCAAATTTTTGGTTATCTTGATCTTGTTATTGTGGTGCCATCAAGATTATGCCACTTCCTATATGGCTCTCCAGCTTTTAGTAACACAAATCTTTAGCACCCATAAGGAATATAACAAATCTAATAAGTATGTAATACAAAAAGAAATCGAGCCCTTCATATGGTGCCTTGGGTACATACCACCAAATAGACCATCGATTTAGAATGAACCTGAGATATGCTGTCACATCCCAGATTAAAAAAAATAAACCATCATTTCATTATTCATAATTTACATAAGAGTATTTTTTTATCTTTGAATTCAAATCCTTTTTTTTTATAACACTATATATATTTTTAATTAAAAAAAAGAATCACATCTTCTTAGTAGGGCCACAAGTGATGAAAAAGTCTTTTCCACCCAAGCCTTAGATCTATTGCAAAGTAGCAGGTTACTCTGAAAATAAATATAAGATGAAAATAAACTAGCACCCACACATATTAATAGGAACCTTTGAAAAATCATAAAAATAATCTTCAATATCCGTAAAACATTTATAAATGTCAATAATTTAATATGAAATAATAACATATCAATTAATTATGAAACTTATGTATCAGAAAAATAATGATAATTCTTATGCATTAAACAAAATCATGTATCAGTCACATGCAACACATCTTAATGACATACATAACAATCAGATAACAAAAGACATATATCATACTCGATGGTGCACTCTCCTAACAACAAATGGAAATACATACTCTACCGGATGGATTCTTCCCAACAGTAGATGGAGAAAATCTATATCACATTCCCAATAGCAAATGGAGTGGTATCCCTCACTCACCCAAGTGGAGACACGTTCCTCCAAATAGCAGATGGAGGAACCATCTAACTATCATAAATGACGGCCTACTAATCCCCAAAGGTAATCGCCCTACCTGCTCTCGGCAGAGATACATAGTCACCCATGATCATTTATTTTCATTCATCTATTTATTTATGTATGCATCCGAGAAGTAGTATAATAAAATATTATGAGGGACTATGCTTGATGTACTGGCCTGCTAGACTATGTTCATCAGTGGCACCGCACTGTAATGGACCCGTAGTTCCTTTCACAGATAGCACTTCCAATGTGGACAACTCAATATAGTTACATATACTACATGATAACAATAACATCAAAATCATCAATTTAATCTAAAAAAATAAGAGAAAACTAATAATAATTTTCAAATGACACATTCAAATAAAACTTTTAAGTTCATCAAATCATAAAGACATGAGACATCAATCTCTAAATAGCTCCCAATCAACCAGAACCCTAATTAGAATAGCTCAATTGACTTGAACCAAACTTAGTTCAATTAGAATCTAATGGAACCAATCTCAAATCCTTATAGAACCGATCTAGAATCACCCTAAACTGGTCTAATTTATATTTAATTAATTTTAATTAGGTCAAATAGGCTTTAATTGATCAAGTTGGTCTGGAATCACTTTGAACCGACTTGAACCGATCAAACCCATCTGATTCAGCCAACTAACAAGCTCAAACCAATAAAGGGAGAGGAAATTGGACTATGTCGCATAGTGCTAGCCCAGACCGAACCGACCCACTTGAGTCTTGGACAGGTCACATGTGTTGCATATGTCTGTCCCAGATAACAGGTTAGGCTGAGGTATAACGAGCTGGATAGAGGGGTGTCGATGTGTTTAGCGCTTGTTGCATAGTTGAGCAAGCCTAGCTTTGTTGAGCTGAGCCTCACTCACGAGTTAGGCTGAGTCTTACTACTAAACTGAGTCACGCTTGGCTTGCGGGTTGGGTTGTGCCTAGCCACATACGTTGGGTCATATTTGACCACATATGTTACATCATGCCTAACCACATAGGTTGGATTATGCCTGACCACATGGGTTGGGTCATACCCGATCACATAGACTGGGTCATATCTGGCTACATGGGCTGGGTCATGACTAATCACATGAAATGGACTATACCTGACCACGTGGATTGGGTTTTTCCTAGTCATATGGGCTAGGTTATGCCTAACCACATCGGATAATACTTACCCTCATCACATTATTTTTAAGAAAGCATCATTTTAATTTGAAATGTACTTGGTCATATGGGTTTTGGTTATGTCTGTCCATATGAGTTAGGTCATGCATAATCATATAGGTTGAACCATACATGACCATATAAGCTGGATCATATCCAACGATATGGGTTTGTTTGATCAATCAATTTAACTCGGATCAAAACCCAATTTGACCCCTTTTATTAAATTAAATTTTATTATTTTAAAAATAATTTAAAAATATTATAAAATAATAATTAATCTTAAATCTATTTTTTTCATAAATTAAGTAATTTAGATTCATGATTCTAAATTTAAAACTAATCAAATCATAAAAATTTACACATAATTTCTTGAAACATAAATATGTCTAATTAAATAAATTAGGACTATTATTAAATTAACTAATCATTCTAACATCATAATTCAATTATCATTATTTATTAATCATAAAATTTTAAAATTAAAATATTATTATGCATTATACAAATTATAACAATTTTAATATCAAAGATTTTAAAATATGAGTAAAAATTGGTAAAAAAAAAAAATTCTCTACCTCTCCGTAAAGAATTCTTTTCTGATCCTTCTCCTATCAGGGGGTTGGTTAGGAATGAGGGAGGAAAAGACTCCTTTATAGTTCTTATCGAAAGATAAATAATAATTTAATTTTTTAATTAAATTTTATTTTATTTTGATACACAAAGATAGAATTGTAATATTTATTTCTTGTGGTTCATACACAAAAATAAAATTTGAATTATTTAAGTTCTAAAAATCATGTCAAAAAATAATTTAATTAATGTATACAATTTTTAACTCATACATATGATTAAGAAAATTAATTTTAATCATTTTAAAAAATTAATAATTTAAATAAAATAACCCCATTATTTATAGTAATTAAAGTGAGAAAAGATCATGGTTAGTTCCAGAAAACAGCAGGCAGGCATTTATCTGCCAGAGGAGGAGCAAAAGGGGGGAGGGGGGAGGGAAGGTACCTCTTTGGCAAGTTCAGTGGAATTCAGAACCACCACAGTGGAAGTGCCGGTTCTGATGGTATAAATCGGCCCGTACGTCGCCGCCCATTTCGCGAACGTCAGGTGAGGCTTCTTCTCCTTCAGCTGCAGCAAATTCCCAATCAAGGGCCACCCAGGAACAGCTGCGACACCACCACCATCGGTCACATGAATCAGACAAATCCACAAGCACGAAGGAAATTATGACGCAAAAAGAAGTGGGGAAACGGCCGAAAGCCGACACCCGGAGGACTATTGGACCGCCGTCTGCGGGCGACGAGGAGGATTCCAGCGACGACGACGGCGGCGGCGGGGGCGCTCCGCAGGAGCAAGTGAAGCGCCGCTATTGACATCTCCATCGATCGCACGTACCCACCACCCGACTAGTCTTCGGCGTGCTACCCAAAGAAGAAAGAGAGAGAGAGAGAGAGAGGTGGGAATGATAGATGGCAACAGCAAGAGACAAAGCGACCATTTAAGATGGACGGCAGGGTTTTCGGCGGCACCGCCCTCTGCTGTTGCTGTTTTCATCGATTCAGTGGTGAGAAGAGATGCACCTTATCGGCCGTTCGATGCATCGTTTTCATAAATAGGACGATTTTTGGATAAATTCTCCTTTTTTTTGTCTAATATAATTCTTTAATTTAATAATGCCTAAAATTAAGCCCATAGAGACTCTTTTATTTTTTTCCTGAATATATAAAAATAGCTTGGATTTATCATCTTATATATATATATATATATATATATATATATATATATATATATATATATATATATATATAAAATTGAATTCGGATGACTTATGAATCCATATGATTGAGGTACAAAGATATCACCTTAATTCATAGAAACACATCAAGCGAGGTGGCTATTTTTAGTCTTTGGAGGAAAGCCGGCGCAGCATCTTCGACTACCCCTTATCGGTAGATTCTCCCCCACAAAAGGCCTAAATGGTACTCCCCATGGATACTTACATTATCTCACCTTTCATTCGATCGTGTACTGCCAAAGGAAAGCAATCAAAGAATCGAACATTGGCTTCACCCACAAATTGAATTTGATTTGGGCTGGAATTCTAATTTAGGTCAGTTCTAACCCAAATTGATTTCCCTATCTAAAGAGGCCCATTAATCAAGTGTGGGTTATGCCTCAGAGCTCCAAAGAAAAACCCAAGTGATCAATCGATTTGATTTCTCGAGATAAGACTTAGAATTCTGAGAAACCTGTGGTCAGGTTTGTGCATTCTAATCATTGTATTTGCATTAGTAGAGTATAAATCACTTGCATGTCACAATGGAGAAGTGGATTGAAGTTTTCTTATCACACATTCTATAATATTATGTAATGTTAACAATTATATAAAATTGGAATGTTTTTGAGTCCTTTTTTTGATCTCTTTTATTATTCCACTCCCAATAAAAGAAGCTTTTAGCAGTAACAGTGCAGCGTAAAATGGCATAATAGCTTCTTGACCTCCCAAGTAAGCCCGCCAGCCATGAACCAGTGTCGGTCTCGGTCTCGCTTCTCAGTCTCAGTCTCTCTCTCGACGATGGGACAGAAGGACGACATCACGATGACCACAGCCGCCTCTCTTTGTCTGTGCTTGCCTATCTCTGCTGCCTCCTACTTTGACCCAATTCTGAATCATCTCGAGCAAAGACTTTGAACCCCTACTTTTCTACTTGAAGTTTGTCATCTCTCTCTCTCTCTCTCTCTCTTTGAACCCCTACTTTTCTACTAGAAGTTTGTCATCTCTCTCTCTCTCTCTGTCTTTGAACGCCTACTTTTCTACTAGAAGTTTGTCATCTCTCTCTCTCTCTCTCTCTTTCTCTCTTTCTCTTATAAATAGCGAAGGGGGAACCCATTTGTCTCCCATCGTAGGCCATGGAAGATGTTATCCAAATGCCTTAGCTTGGAGCCGCACGCATGTCCTGTCGCCTTCATGGACACCGTCTTCCTCCTCCGCCCCGAAGCCCGCAGTCGCTTCCTCCGGACCGCCGCTCGCGCACTGGGATGCACGTATATTTGCCTGTGGTCCCCGCTTTACCATCCATCATCCGAGTATCCATCGATTCCTCTCGGTTCACGACCGACTCATCTCTTTCTTAACTGTGATCGGGATGTATCTGACTCGAGTAATTTCCAACCAGTTGCTTCACCTCCATGGATGGATGGCACCACGAGGACGACAGCAGCGGTCGGCCGAGCTCCTCGTCGGGAAGCCCCTCCAGAAGGCTCTTCGCCGCCTACTTGAGGTCTCTCTGCAGCATCCGATGCAGGTGTTCTGCCTAACGCCCTTCATCGTTTCGCTCCATGTGTGGTATCTGACATATATATGGATTGCTTCTTCCCGCTTCTTAAGCTGTGTTCCTGGTTGGGCTTTCAAGAGCAGCCTTCCCTACATCGAGCTAAAGGACTCGGACCTCATGAACTCCGCATCGATGCAAGTACAACGGCAATTCTATCAGGTATATATGCGTGCCAAGAACATTAATGGCTGAATCGAATGCATCCGGAATGCTTGCTTACTTTGATGTGGTCTCATCTTTCAGGAAGCTGGAATTAAGGTTGGCAATTCTCCGTCTCTTTAATCGTAATGAATCATCTTCGACATAACGATTGACTCCTCCCTTGACAGACTGCAGCTTTTCTTGGATGCACAAGCGGAGAGATCGAGTTTGGGATGACGACTTCGAGTGATGTAATCGATCGAAATCCAAAGGATTTGTATCGATCATTTCTGTGTCATATGTATAACGTGGAATTCCTTTTGGCAGGCAAACATGCATGCGAATGTTGATCAAGTGTTCAGCGAGGATTTCATACGACAGTCGCAATTAGAGCAAGAATTCATTCACCAGACTCAGTTGGAAGAGTTGTTCCCACCTCCCGACTCCTCCGACTCCTCCTCGCTTCGATCTTTTTCGGTGGAAAGTCCAGAGTGCTCGTCTCTCCTTCTCGCCAATACGAGCACTGTTGCCCCTCACCAAATCCCCATGAGCGTCTACGATCGACACCGAACCGTGCTGTTTCCATCAACTGCCGTCGATGATGCTGCGATCGCGAGGGCGATGCTGGCTGTCATCTCTTCGAACTCTTCTTCGGCTGCCAACCGGAGTTGGTCCGGCCGCCGAGTAGGGGCATTCAAAGCCTACGCTACTCCGGCCTTTGCACCAAGATGCGATCCCACTCCAAGCTCGCATGGCCAGAAGATGATTAAGATGCTCATCAACCTACTGAAGAAGATGAATGACATGAGGTTTGAAGCCCGGACGCAGGACGCCCGGCCTACCAGCAACCAGCTGCACCACATGATATCGGAGCGCAAGCGCCGGGAAAAGCTCAACGAAAGCTTCGATGCTCTCAGAATGCTACTTCCACCGGTGTCCAAGGTGCGCTTCCCAGTTCATCATCCTTGTTCGCATCCATTTACATACTGATTTCTTCGATTCAATAGAAGGACAAGGCGTCGGTGCTTTACAACACCAGGAACTACCTGAACGCATTGAAAGCTCAAATATCTGAGCTGGAGCGTAGGAACCGACTGCTAGAGATGCAGGTTCGGCGTCCTGATGAGAAGGAAGAAGACGGCGATTCGAACGAGAGAGTACGAGTTCAGATAAGCCGGCAGGCAACCGAATCGACCCCAGAAGGCGAAGGAGTCAACCTCGTCATAACAGTGAGGGCGGGTTGCAACATGATCGATTTGATTCACGACGTACTCCAATGCTTGAAGCGGATGGGAGCCACTACTTTATTATCGGTGGAGGCGATCACAGGATCGCCGCAGAAGAATGATCTAATAAAGGCAAGCTTCACCGTACGAGTAAAGGTAATTTTAATTTCAACCTATGCAATTAAAGCTTTTAAATTGGAATTATTTATGAGTATTTTCCTTCGAGCTCTAGAAAAAAAAATCCTATAAACCTGTTAAAGTTGAAGATAATAATAAATAAAAAAAAATTAAATATTCTGCAAGCGAGGACAGAAAGGACCACTTGATGTTCACGTTTGGAGGTTTTGTGGAAGATCGAATAGAGATACGGTGTGCCAAGGTTGACTGCCACCGAGCATCTGAGTCAATGAGCCAACATCTAAATCACAGCGCCAACTCCTGTCATAGTATGATGTCATACAAGATTCATTCAACTAGATCGCTATTGACATTTCTTAGATGCCCCCCTTGACTGCAGAATTCAAAAGCAATATATTATGGTTTGTGATTGTAATGGATCACATGCAAAATTCTCACCTGGTAGCCGAAGCAAAGCACAGGAAGTTTCCTCTTCCCTGCGGTCCAGTCCCGGTTTTCTCTGTCTTCCGGAGAAGAAGACACCGCTGAATGAAGAGAGAGCTGATGTTGATTGATGTCACGCAGGGCGCCGATTGCGACGAGGAGACGCTCGAGGAAGCTGTGACCCAAGCTGTGGCTGCGGTGTTGGAGCGATCAGCAACACCCACTTCATAATACTTTTTACTCTTCGCCCATCAAATTTGACCGACTGTTGTAATCGATAATGGCCAAACAAGTCATTTCCTGTGAAAGAAGCTGCAAAACAAAGATGGTGACTGCTTGGATAAATAATGCAGTGACTTATTGTCATCGTAGCAGAGAGTTTCCCCAGTCAATGGACTGAAGGCAATCATAACGCTACAGTTGGAAAACATTGAACGGATCGTCCCAACAAATCTATGCAAATAATCCTCCATGACTACACTCTATACGGAGTTTAAATGAAAAATCAGAAAACTCTGTAAGGATCCTCCACAACTACACACGCTAGAAGACACTTCATCCATTATAAAACACGTTATAGAACATTTTACTGTTGTTTGCACTCGGCGGGCCGGTCGACTTGCTCCCCTCCACTCTTCTGTATTTCCACAATTTAGAATATTAACAAAGCAAATGCAGAGAAACAACGAAGATTAAGACAAAATTAAAAGAGGGGGAAGTTAATAATAATGCACCTTCTGCCTTGTAGCCGACTGCATTTTGGTGATACAGAGAATAATAAGAGCACAAGTCAGTGTCTAATAACCCAAGTGTAAAACTTGCAAACAGGAAACAAGATCTTGCACGTATTAGACATACCTTTTTTTTGGACTTGCCATTCTCTTCTTCATCTTCATCTTCATCATCCTCATCCTCATCATCTTCATCTTCATCTTCATCTTCATCCTCTTCATCTTCACCATCCTCATCATCCTCTATTTCTGCATCATCATCTTGAACAGCCTCCCCCGTGAACCATGAAACTGCATGGGGAATTATCTTGTCTCTAATTGTGGACCTGCAGGTTTAACAGTACCTTTGACTTAATGTTGTGATGAGTGACAACCAGGGAAAGAACCGTTATGTATTGTGAAATGGTGACTTAATAGGGAATGAGCAAGACTTGATATTTACTTGGCAGGTTCTAAAATGTCTTAAGAAGACTTTAGCATCTATAACTATTGACATTCTCATTGCACCTATTTATCAATTTTCATTACAAGATAGTGGACCAGCGGACAGCTAAGCCAAACTACAGAAAGGGCTTACCCAATATCATAATCTAATTCCATCTGACTCTGCAACTGCTCAGCCTGCCCAAAGAATGACAATGTAGTTAGTTGTGCTTTTTCTTATTATTCTGCTAATATTTCCTCAGGCTGACAGATGACAATAACTTACAGTCTCTTCATCAATATCAGCATCATCATCTGGTACTTCTGGTGGATTAAAGAAGTTGAAAAAACTCTCACAATCTTCAGTTTTTGTTATGGGTTTAGCATTCTTTGAACCCTTCTTTGGCTTCTTCTTAACAATTTTCTGAGTCACACACTTCCCTGGAAACCATTCAATATCCGTACTGGAGTAGAAGATGACAATTCACAAAAATCAGTAATAGATCAACCATGATAAGATACACAATGTCAATGAGATAAAAAAGAAGGATTACCCAATTGCCTTCTCCAAGATTGGTTCATGTTCATCGATCATGTGATACGTTTTTGTCAGAACACTGTTCTTGAAATAAGGGTTAGAATTGAAAAAAAATTCAAGTTTAAAACCCTTAGGATTATCAATTCTGCACCATTTTATGTCCTTTAGATACTTGAGAGCTTCCTCATCACGCTCTTGAATCTAGATGAAGAAAAGGATAATAGATACGCCAACAATGTGAAGACGAGAAAAAAAGAAGTGATAATTTGCAATTGATTACCTCCTCAGCTAGCACTTCATTTGTTTTCAGAGCAGTGAGCCAAAAATCTGGCACACCTTTTTCTGAGGCAATGCGGAACAATAAGCATCCATAATATGACTAGAAAGCTAAAACAAAACATTCCACATCTCAGGTGTGTTAAGATAACCTTCACTGGCTTTATCCTCAGCAAGGGTTTCAACCGAAGATTCATTTTTAATGCCGTCAACTTCGACAACACCATTCACAATCTCATATCTCTGTAGTCCATGTCGTAGAATGTTAGCCAATATTAACAACATTTAATCCTAGACTCAGTAAACAAACTACACAACTGACAAAGGCACATAAAAGCAACTAAACATTAGGTTTAGACCTTAGCCACAGTGTTTTTTTCCCCCAGTAGTCAAGTAAACTAGAAAATCATATAACATTAATGGCTCTTTAAAAAGTACCTTAGTATACAAGGGCTCATAAAGTTTCTGGTACTTAGCTTCTAGAACAGCCCTTTCCTCAAAAAACTTTGCCTCAAGCTCATCGTGTTGGTTCTGCAGAAAAGAAACAAGAGAAGGTGAATGACATCCGGAATTTGGCATCAACTTTGACTCATGACACGTTAAACAAATTGATGAGGAGAGGGGCAGAGGAATATTGCTAACACAATTGGCAAGCATCCTATTTCTTCCTAATCCATCCAATATCCCTCATGTTCATTCACGAGGTACAGACATGGCACATCTAAAAAAATATATAGGTCAAAATTAAAGAAAGGTGTGACATCCATTTCAGGCTGGTCAATGGTGGTAGATGAGCTGCCAAACTTTAGTAAATAATTAGACTGCAATCCCACATATTATACTGCAGGAAAGATCAATGGTTATAAACACCACCACTAACTTTTATCTTTCTTCAAGATTTCCAAGTTGAAACCCCTAATATGATACAAAAGGAGACCTTAAATGTTCAAACACAAAGTCTTCAGGTGACATTTAGTAAGTTAGAAGTTTCCAAGAAAAAAATGCTGATTATTAATCAAGTGAGATTGCTTATGTATACAGTATCCACAAAGAAGCAAGTTCTATGTTATCAGATGCATAACCACATAGTAAAAATAGCATGCTACATCAAACTAACTTCTTGATTTATGAACAAAGAAAGGATAAATGTCAGGTCAAATTTAGTAGATTAGAATTTCACAAAAATTAGTTTAAAAGTTCAGTAGTCATATTCAAACGAAGATAAATGTTGATTTCATTCACAATCATATATATGGAAATTAACAGGATAATCCACTACTTTCCACCATACATACATACATACAGAAAAAACTAACAATAAGAATCAACATAAACTAGCTAGAGTAATCAAAAGAATAAGATGCACTAATAGAGTAAATATGAATGGCATGATATAGTTCAAAAAAATGATCAACTTCAGGAAATGGCACTACGCACTCATCTATGTACATTTAGCTCTTATACAGCTTGTTAAGGTACATCTCTCCTTACGGCCAGATTGGTTATTCTCTCTTTCCTGTCACATTGGTCATTAATACAACCAAAAACTTCAGTATCATATTTTCAAAAATAGAAAACTAGTAAGGAGAATAAGAACTAGGAAGAAAAGTAATCAGGCATGTAGACACCAAGAGGGAGCAAATGCAATATGAACTCCTCCCTCTTGCCCAAATCTGTTTCCAAACCATCTTCTCTTCATGGATTTTCAAACTATCCTCTTTATCATCCATACCACATCATGAACCGGTCAAATTAATAGCAGTAGTGAATGCAATTCAGGTGCTTCACCATCGATGGGTTAAATTGCAAACTATGAATCTGACATATCTAACATTCATAAGTGTTGTATGATCGGGCCCAAAAACTGAAACGCTGGCAGCATTGAGGAATCGACCAGATACATCTAGACATAGGCACAATCATCTGGAAGTTGGACAAAATTAATCAATCTTAATTGCTCGCGACAAGTTTTGGCTGATTCTAAGGAAATTCCTCAATTTAAAAAAGAAACAAAATCTAACATAACAGTCCTGTAAATTGACTGATTGATTGAAACTACAGTCCCAAACCCGATAGTCAATCCTGAAACCATCCTAATCTTACAAATGTTAACACAAAAGCTACCATAATATTAGGTGACACACGAAAACATTCAGCTGCATATCTAATGCAAGAAATATGAAAAGTATATTTATCCAGTGTAAACTAGAATAGGATCCCCCTTCAACCAAGAAGAAGAGAATAATAAAACAGATTAATTGTAGCCCGCATAGTGGCAGACCAATTCACTAATTTGATCAAAATGTATTTAAAAAATTCTTTTATCAAACTAAATGTAATCAGCCAATGCAATCAACCAGTCAAGAGTAGAAATAATAATCTTAGAGTGCATTTTTCCAAGATAGGAATACTGAGAACAGGTTGATACCAAAGACATAAGAAGAGAAAATCAGATGCTGAAAAGGAGTTCATCCTCCTCAGACCTCACTATAATGCAACTCATTAATACCAAAGGGACCACTCCACTGGTCAACATAATATGTATTTTTACCTCCTCAAAATCCACATTTTCTAGTTCTTATATAGTGCTTCATAATTGTTTCTTACAGGTCCAAGATAAATGGTCCTGACAGAAATTATAATTTTGCAAACTCAAATGAGAACAGAAGAATTGAAAATAAAGAGAAAGAACATTCTAAGATATAATGACAACAGATAATACTTCAATTAGCGAAGCGCTGCTTGAAGTCAAGTATCTGATTCTATGACATGATAACGTAAAATTGGCTGCAGATGTATGTTTTCTCTTTCACCTACCTCTCTAAAACAAAAGGCAAAGCAGCAACTACTAGAAACAATTCATGGAGTTAATGTAGTCGAGTTTAAGATACAATGTGCCGGTAAAGAAGAGATAGATGATGACAGACTTAAAATCATTGACAATTTGGAGAACTATTTATGGCAAATCGAGCATTTTTCAATAGAAGTCATCTTCGAGTTTCAAAGAAGTCGAAGTTCATTCGGAGGATGACATTTGAAATTCTAACAGGAAAAACAATGGAACAAGCATTTTTCACGGAATAAGGTTTTACGACTTTGAAAGGGAAAATAGATCTTCATTCCCACTGACCAATGTATGAGTATTTATGATCCCAAAAATCAAGCACCAAAAACGAACATATAAACAACCGGTCATGCTCGTCATGCATATTCGGATATTATTTTGGCGATATATAAATCTTCCAACGTTAACTTGCAGTCAAATATCCGATCACAATATAAACAGATAGAAGATTATACGAATCAAAATCCCGAGGAAAACCCAACCAAGTACGTAAGACAGAAATATACAAAGCAAAACAAATCATCCCAACACAGAAATATACAACAACAGAAGATCTCGAGTCCAGAAGAACAAAGCAAACCTGAATCTCCCTCAGCACCTCGACGCGCTTCCTGACCGCCGCGCTAAGCGTCTCCAGAACATCCGTATGCTTCCCTGCGAGGCTCTGGAGCTTGTCCTGCAGCCAACCGAAGTACCCACGAAAACACGTTAAACAACAGAAAAACAGACCTATCCAACCTCAAATCTCCCAACAAACGCAGAGGTTAATATACTCGATCGAGAATGACCAGGATCGCACCTTTAGAGCATTGACCAGACCGACTCTATCCTCTTCGCTCATAGCTGGAAGACAGAAACAGTTCGACGTGATAATCAAACGGGAAAAGAAAGAAGGCGAACAGAGAGCGAGAACGATCGAATTGAAGACAGAGGGTTTGGGGGAGGGCGAGACCGGCACGGAGATCGGAGAGATTGAAGCCATCTTGGTGATTGTCGTTTCTCATTGTCGCCCTCCGCGTCTTCCGCTTCTTCGCCGAGATGGGATGCTCCAATGAGGCAAACCCTAGGGCGGGGGATAAGAGCCGGAACGAGAGGAGACAGCCAGAGAGACACGGGAGGCAGATTTACACCTTCAACTATAGCACGCATAATTCAAAAATTGAGCAGAACTTTGCGCACACGTACCTGCGTACTCGTCACTGTATCCTCAATTTCATTGGTTATATGATAATAGCATATCTGGGTCCCACACGCAGGCACAGCAAATTCTCTTACAACGAAAGAGGGTAAAGTTGGCGAGTTTCGGTGGTTTGGGGGTCAACACAAGTAAGCGGCGCCATTCTGCCAAATTATTTTGTTTGTTTAATTGTGGATTTTTAGATATATATCATCGTAATTATAAATTTTATTATAACATATAAGATCCTTCACATGAATTTCTCCATTAACATTTATTACGAAATATTCATTTTCAACCATGTTGCACTTAAATTCATATATATATATATATATATATATATATATATATATATATATAATATCTAAACTAACCTAAATGATATATATCATTTGATTTTGGAATTACATATACATCAAAATATTAAAATTAATATTAATATTAATATATTTATTAGATCCTTATAAGTCAATCTTAATTTTTGTTCATTTCGAACGTAAAATTAATTGGAATATTATATATTGATTTAGTAGTACGAAGACACTCAATCTCCAATAATATGGGTGACTATTGTAAAAAAAATTATCCGTAATAATTATGGAATGCTAATAATATTTTTTCAATTGTGAACTGAAATGATGATATCTTTGGAAGTGGCATGAAAGGATGGATCTTAGCCAAGCTTTGCATTGCAACCATCTTGTTCTTTCTTATTATGAATATAACTCAAGGTTTCCAACTCACCAAGAATAAGATCAGTTAAGATACTACATCTTAAGAACATGGTGAAGGCTATGACTAAAAGATATTGATATGGACATTGATATGTTTTTGCATCTGAAACATCAAACTGTAATGATGATCACTCATGTTCCTTCTCTTTCAATCTTTTTTTTGGGTACAGAACAAGAAGGGAAAAAGTAATTGGGAAAGAAGGATACAATGGCTTTGTGGATAAGATTGGTTGGAAATCCTGCACTCATTGAAACCTGGTGGGGCAAATATGTTTCACCCTATAAGTGGCTTCAGACATGAACAGATGAGTGGTCTACTACACCTCAAAGAACATGGTGAACAAAGTTGTCAATTGAGTGTTTGATTTGGCTGCTCACCTTCTATCCTTCACTTGATGCAATGAGATGAGATTAATTCGATGATCACACGTGTTTGCGCTAATCCAAGACGGATAGATACAAAGAAGCTCATTAGCATGTCTAAACTTATTTTACTGATATCCAAATACAGATTTACCAAACACATTTTCAGCAACTTGTTGATGAAAAAGAAATGTGTTGTGTGTAGCTAATAGCAAGAAGACCAAACTTAGTTCATGTGGTTGGGAATGTGTACAACCCAATCATATTGCCATGGTAGGAGTTCATATATGATAAGTCCTGAGCAATCTACACAACAAAAAGATTTCCATGGATGCTGGTACACAAGCCATTAACAAGATTACAAGAAGGATACAGTATTAGTGTGTGAAGCCTTACCATCATCAATCTGGATGTTGTTCTATTTGACTATGGAAAAGTACATGGTGCATTGGAGGTCTAAAAGAACAAAGGCAAGAACAGATGACAGAGGTCAGCAAAGGGAATAGTACTCTCTGCTGAGCTGCTGTGGACCTCTTGTTCTTTTGACTTATATTTCAATGATAATCTGAATCATCAAAGATGACACTAATGCTTGATTGTTTTCACATTCTCAGCAGATCTGTATTCTTAAACCATGACCTATAGTATCTTTGCACCTTCTACACATCAAATGGCCATACTTATAGCATAATAAATGGCATGGTAACATCATCTGCATCTTGTTCATATCTCTGTCTGCTACATTGTAGAATTTCTATCTTATCCTGAATTTTACTTCCACTGTTTACAGCACTGCTAGAATTCATGTGCAATTCTATTATGTGATATAAGCTTATTGTACAATTTCTATTTTATCCTGAATTTAGTAGCTTTTATTACTACCTAAAATTATCATGTTCTTTGAATTAATTAGCCAAATAGAAGCTAGCCATCAGGTTAGGCACTGGTCAAATGAAAGCAGAGTATGGAGATGGAGTGAAGGCTTTTGTCAGAACACATTGATAATGAAAGGATATAAGCACCAGTGAGAACCAGGCTTTCCATTCCATCTAGATTAAAGAAACTGATAAAGGGACAATGTACTATTTTGTGGCCTTCTTCTCTTAAACTATGCAGTGGGATTTCAACAATTTTTTTCCTCTTGCAACACCAAGTATCTATAATGTATCAAGTTTTACAATTAGGAATGCCTAAGCAGCCAAATATTATGGTCACATCAACAAATTATTTCTCCTTGAAATGGTGGCAAGCTTATTCTGAACCAAGCTACCATGAATTTTGTGCAAAAACACTTCAGCCTGCTAATTCCAGTGATATGAGATAGTTTAGGCCAATATCTCTGTTTAATCTCTCTCTCTCTCTCTCTCTGTTACACACACACAAAAGAAAAGAAAAAGTTCAAGTGTGCTACTACAACCATTGTTCCTTTTTTTCATCATAAAAATTGCTAGCAAGTGTAAGATAATTATAGAATGCATTGGCAGGACAAACTTATTTGGACTTGGAAGGCACCTGTAGGAAGACAACTAAGAACCTAGTAATTCAGTAACATTTTCCTTTTCTTTAGGTGGAGTCAAAGGAAAAAATTGAAACATTATGGTGGTTGAGGCAGCTGTCTCTAAAGTCTGACTCCTGTCAACTAGTGACACTAAATGACAAAAACAAGTAGTCTTTACTATGCTAAAAATTAGGTAGTGAGAAAAAAATTAAATGCATGGTTTCTGGCCTAACATTGTGTGCCTGGAGTTGTTAGGGCATCCCCACATTAAGGAAGGTAGGATTGACATTCATCTTGCAAGGTGTTTTCTGCAGTGGGACCTTTACCTACAGCAAGCTGCCCTCCTTCCAAACAACATGGTCCCAAACACAAAGGGAATATTAAGGACCAGCAGCTATAAAAGTGAGAAGCACAGTGCACAAAAAAGAAGAAAAGAAGATAGCATTTGGTAACATTGGAGGTGGTTTAGGTTGATCTGAATTAACTTTCTACAGCCTCAGCAGGTTGAGATCTTTTCTTGGTAGTTTGAATGAGGACATCCATGTTAGCATACTGATTCATCTTCTTTGGCTTAATTATCTCCTTCATGCACCTTGACTTGCCAATCTGCTTGTCCATCTACCAAATTCTTATGCATGAAAAATCTTACTGCACTGATCATTATCAACCTATGAAGTGCACTAGCAGAAGATGATTCCCTACTATGAGAACAAAGGTTAGGTCACATTCACAGTGGACTTTGGAATCTTATTGGTCGATGATTCTAGTCCAACTGTTTCTTGGTGAAGTAGAAAGTGATAATCTAATACTGTTTCTAACACACCCAAAAATCTAGTTTATACAACATAACTTTTGAGCAACCCGAATTAATGTCGGTGTTAATATGAGAAGTCATAATGGAATGGTTCTAGTGAGTTGTTGAGAAGAACAGCAGCTGTTTCACCCTTTTGTACTGATGATTAACTACAAGAAGCATTTTTATTTTCAGAAATAGAAGAAGTAGTCTAAAAGAAGACAGAATTAGCCAGATTGTTGGCACCAGAAGCAATCACTTCCAAAGCCTGATACAGATGGCAGATATAATGAACAGCAGTGAGTTGTTGAGAAGAACAGCAATTGTTTCACCCTTTTGCAGATTAGACAAATGAATGTACTGATGATTAACTACAAGAAGCATTTTTATTTTCAGAAATAGAAGAAGAAGAAGAAGAAGAAGAAGTAGTCTAAAAGAAGACAGAATTAGCCAGATTGTTGGTTCCAGAAGTAATCACTTCCAAAGCCTGATGCAGATGCCAGATATAATGAACCAGTGAACTGATACAGCTTATCTGTTGTACTTAATTCATATAGATTAGTGTCCCACAATATTTTATATGGCAAATTGCTTCATGTTCTAGTTGGTGCAATGTCTTGTTCAAGACAGTTAATGCTGGCTCACATGTTTCGAGTCCAGAGTAGTGACAAAGAAGTTGTAACTTTTATTGAGCATCAATCGAGGGCAAAAGATGTCTTTACTCACAGAATAAAAATAGCTTCTGTGGCTACATTAACACCCACAAAATTAAGAGGAAAGAAATCAAAGCATTGATCCAGAGTATTTAAACACTTGTTTTCTCTCAATCCCAAGACTGCATAAATTATGCCAAATTTCTCTTTCTTTTTTGATTGAGATCTCCACTTGCTCTGACCTGATTGCATGATACTATCATTTGGTTGAAGAACTTTTGGTGTATGTGAGCTCAGTGATTAATGCCACAAATATATCAACAGGCTTTACATAATTACCCTGAGAACACAAGATGAATCTGCATATAATATTACTGAGATTTACTCATCCTTGTTCTTTCAGTGACAAAAGTTCAATTTTCTCATATTTGAACCACATGTTGCCGACAGCAGGTGGTGTTCTCTCGTCTACTTCCCTGCTGCTACCTCCTAATAATTCAATGCACAGCCACTTTTTGATGAGGCGTTTGAGCTGCTCCTTTAACCTGCACGTCAATGTAGTCCTCCTTTTTTTTTGATGGGATTTAACATCTTGTAGCAGCCACTTTCTGGTTCATATGTTTGGGAATTTGACTGTAAGAGTATGAAATCTTCTGGGAACCTCAGGATCTCGATGTCAGCTCTTGTCTCTCTGCTTCCCTGTTTCCTAAGAAATAAAAAGTGCATGGAACTTCCAAACACCACGAGCTTTGGGTAGCACAACATACATGGAACAGAACGTCACTGGTTGGATGAAGCCTCGACGGGGGTCCCACGTTCCCGCACCAGTCCTGTTCTCGCTTTCACCCCTCCGGTGTTAAAGAGCAGTGATCCCCAGCTCTTACGGCACATT